AATGGTTATGAGTTTGGTAAATTTTGTTTATTACCATTGCTTCTTCATTTTTAATGCTTGTTTGTTTGTTTTTTTCTAACACGGCAACTTTGCCTGTGCATTTTGTCACAGTGTACAATTGACAATACTAACGATGGGACTGATTACCGCCTGTGATGGAATATGTGTAAGAGACTGGAGAATAAGACTGCATGGCGAGAGTGTGAAAGTCCGAGCTGAAACGCCTATGCGGCCGATCGTTGACAATCGTTATCATGCATTAAATACACCAATGAATGCATGGGCAGAATCACTTGGTTTCAGTGAATTTACATGATATAATTTGTAATAAAAAAGTAAAGTTGTGTAATTATCCAGATGAAAATGAGTGACTTTTATTAAAAAAGACCTATTCATTGTACAATGTGTAGGTTTGTTTTTATGTTTTGCTTATGATCTCCCTTAAAGTTCCCGCCCTGATTAATATTCATGATTGAATGAATAAATTAGGCCACCTCCATATAAAGTCCACCTGTCTATAAAGGACAGTTTGGCTCAGTCCACTGACTGTCCGTTAAAGACAGGTTTGACTGTATCTATAATTATATGCACGCAATCTCACCCTTTGACATAGATTATGCTGGGATTCAATTTTATTTTAAACAATATTCTGATGTCACGCACCACTACAAAATGTATTTCAACACAAGTACGAAATAGTTGTCATGGTTTCCTTTATTGAATTTTGGATACAATTTGTATAGTTATTGATGTTTCCCCCCAAAGGCGAAGACAAGTCTAAGGACTATGAAGCTAAATAGCAGTTCAATATAGGTTTATATGAAGTTCAATATAGGTTTATATGGAGTTCAATATTGGTTTATATGGAGTTCAATATTGGTTTATATGGGGTTCAATATTGGTTTATATGGAGTTCATTATTGGTTTATATGGAGTTCAATATAGGTTTATATGGAGTTCAATATTGGTTTATATGGAGTTCATTATTGGTTGATATGGAGTTCAATATTGGTTTATATGGAGTTCAATATTGGTTCATATGGAGTTCAATATAGGTTTATATGGGGTTCAATATTGGTTTATATGGAGTTCAATATTGGTTTATATGGGGTTCAATATTGGTTTATATGGAGTTAATTATTGGTTTATATGGAGTTCAATATAGGTTTATATGGAGTTCAATATTGGTTTATATGGAGTTCATTATTGGTTGATATGGAGTTCAATATTGGTTTATATGGAGTTCATTATTGGTTTATATGGAGTTCAATATTGGTTTATATGGAGCTCAATATTGGTTTATATGGAGTTCAATATTGGTTTATATGGAGTTCATTATTGGTTTATATGGAGTTTATTATTGGTTTATATGGAGTTCAATATTGGTTGATATGGGGTTCAATATTGGTTGATATGGGGTTCAATATTGGTTGATATGGAGTTCAATATTGGTTGATATGGGGTTCAATATTGGTTTATATGGGGTTTAATATTGGTTTATATGGGGTTTAATATTGGTTTATATGGGGTTCAATATTGGTTTATATGGGGTTCATTAATTTATTGGTCCATAAATATAATTTATTGTTAGAATTTTTTTTTACTAACTGCCCTGCTCCGAATTTCACATCATGTGTACATGTGTGCAAAGCTAAGGTCATTTATTAAATGATATGGAAATAACATTTTCTGTAATTATATATTTTTTATTCAACAGTTCTGTGAAGCAAGGCAGTTTATTGATTGACAATAGTACAATAGATCCCGCAGTGTCTAAAGATATGGCAGCATTGGCTGAGAAAAAAGGCTGTGTGTTTATGGATGCACCAGTGTCTGGAGGTATGTGTTATACTAAGAAGATTCAAACCAAATTGAAATGTTCAAATTGAATTGAAATATTCAAACCGAATTGAAATATTCAAATTGAATTGAAATATTCAAACCAAATTGAAATATTCAAATTGAATTGAAACATTCAAATTAAATTGAAATACCCAAACCAAATTAAAATATTCAAATTAAATTGAAATATTTGAATTGAAACATTCAAACCAGATTGAAATATTCAAACCAAATTAAAATATTCAAATTAAATTGAAATATTCAAACCAAATTGAAATGTCTATGTTCATTAAAGTGAGCACAGCAAAAGCTGCTAAACCCTGCATGGCATTATCTTGAATCCTGTGTGAAGCACACAATGTGAGTCCTTGCAGTTATCCTGTCTGTATGTGTGCGTGTGTGGTAACAACGTTGTGACGACTTCAATTTAACTTTACACCGACTTGTGACGACAAGACGTACATTGTGACGACCCTGACTATTTTCATAATTAATATTAATATTTAATCAAATTTAAGTCAAGTTTCCGAAGCTTAGGTTTAGTAAAGGGGGAAGATATGGTTCAATTTATATATTCAAGTTTTGTTTAATTAAAACGCAACCCTATATAGGAATGCGTTTTAATTGAGTTCATATCGCAACTATATTAAGTTATTTCAACTATATTAAAAGTTAATCCAATGTGTGTTGTTAAAACGATGGTAAGACGTGTATGTGTCTGTCCGTTCCAATGATATCTCAAGAACCGTAGGTTGGTTTTTAATAAAACTTGGTGCATAGATGCATTGATAAAATTCACTCACAACTTGTTTCTTGTGTGGAGGCTATGAAAGCTGCAACTTATTGTTCACTAACAACTCGTTATTTCAAATGTGGGGGCTGCAATAATTGCAATGTTAACATTCACTCATAAATTGTTATTCCAGGTGTAGGGGCTGCGAAAGCTGCAACGTTAACGTTCATGGTCGGTGGAAAAGAAACAGAGTTTCCAGCAGCAGAAGAGATTTTGAAATGTATGGGGAAAAATGTAGTACACTGTGGACCAGTAGGAACTGGTGAGGTAAGATTAATAATTATTGAGTTGACTGCTTGATAGCCAATCAAAATTCAATTTTCGACACACAGTATGTGACATGCTATTTTTAGTTCCCGTTTGGACACAGTTTGACCTTCGTGCGTG